GAACGACACTTGGCATGTAGCGAATCTGTCAGTGATGATTTTTGGGTTTTGATGGCTGCGTATCCTTTGGGGTTGTTGAAGCGCGTGTATCAGGCACTGTCTCCAACCATCCCGATTCTGTTCCAGCGTTTCAGTTTCGCTAGAAGATAATCCAAGTGTGAAGCAGAGTCCTACGAGACACTTGCTCCTGATTATTCTTGATCATCCGCAGGGTCTTCGTGCAGTCGGCTGGGCAAACAGCAACTGTTTCGCCTTCCTTCTTCAAGGCATCCGAAAATCATACCCAAACCATATAACGAATATAAGTATTAAAACTAGGTATTTTGGTCGAACCAAGGCAGCTCTTTCAAACCAATTGCTGGCAACGCCTGTTTGCTCCACTGCGTTCTGAGTATGTTTTGAAAAAAGCACAGCTGTGGACCAGCGTATGTTTGCCAGAAAGATGCTGATGTTTGGGCAGCCCATTGTTTATGATGTTCGTAGGACATCGTTTGTTGTAATTGCTGTTATGCGTGCTGTATAATTATTTTACCTGTGCCGTTTGATGCATTTTTTACGTTTCCCGGTAGCGCAGAATGACGCTATCATTAGACTGTTTTTTTATTGCTTTAAGGCAGTAGATCTTCTGACTCTATGGGTTGGCAGCAGGAGAAACAGTTTCTCGTCCTGCCATCCATGAAATCCAAATATTTATCATTTTCAAGTCATGTACAGCACGGTTTGGGTATGTTATTGCTTTAAATTGTCCAACTTTTCAATAAGACAGTGGCTTTAAGCGTGATACAATCTTTTTATGTATTGGGAAGCGGTACAGAGGCCATCATCACACCTGTTAACACTATTACTTGCGAACAGCCCTGATGAGAGTGCTTGTGTTGGAAGCCGTAATAGCGTGGTAGAAAAGCTGTTTCACATCAAAAGCCGCCGCATCATCGAAAAGTTGAACAATTTAAAGTTCGCACACTAAATATAAATTTCCGAACATATTACTGCTTTATGCATTCATCGTTGTACGTGCGACTTGCGTTTAACATTCAGCATTCAGGTGTATATTTTAGAGGTTTTCACGAAGAAATAGTGGTAGAGTATGGATGCACCCGTTCGACCTTAGTCGCCTTCCGAAGCAGACATTTATCGATGCCCACAGTGAGCGTTCATTGTTCATGGAGATCTTTGAGCCGACCGGACTGAAGCCGAACCATCAATGGCTTTCTTCCACAAGCATTACCTGCAAAGGTAAGATGACCACAAACAGATATGAATCTGTCGTCATCGTTAACTTACGACCTGTATTTCTTAGAACCGCCGGTCACGTTCATCGGCGTTCTGCCACCATTCAACGAGAAGGCGTTGTTCCTGCACTTTCTGTTCACTCGTCTGACCGGTTTAGGTGTTTTTCAGTTTGGCCCACCAGAACTTCTTCTCTACGTGTCTGCCCAGAAATACGTGCTTCTTCCCCCGGCGAATGCCGAGACGAAACTTTCCAAAATGCTGCGCTGGCGTCGCGACGAGTACGAGCTGTACTTCGATATCAAGCTTTTACTGTCGGTACGTAAATTTTTTGTGATAGACTCTATCCCGTCTTTATGGCGTTCGGTTATCAGTGGCTATACTACGTTATAACCATTTTATTTCTGCACCCCGATTACCGTTGCGTCAAGTAATGTGAATAGACCAAGGTACCTTTTTGTGTCCTTTTGTTCTACTGCATATTTTTAATATTTGCCTTTTTCCGGTCGTTCTCTACCATTTTATGAGTGGTTCGTTGCTGCATAAATCTCAGATGAATACTTTTACCATGTTTCATAATTAATATTCATTAATATGGCGATGTCCTTCAATCCTTTCATCCAGAGTTGCACTTTAAGATCACGTATGCAGATTTCCCTTATAGTCGTTAAGTGACCCATTATCCTCTCACTACTATCGCACTATATATATGTTTACGGTCCATGTGTCGCTGACGTCTGTTCCAAGGTCACGTTTGATACAGTTGGTTTCTCTGATCAACAACGCTTCTTTGACCTTGCGGGAAAGATATTGTTGTTCCCGCGTGGCGCCTTTCATTTTGTCCCATGAGATTTGTGTTGGTGGGTGACAGCGGAGACAGGCGAAAGACTATATTTATACCCAGGGTCTTTCGTCTGCCTGGCTTCTATTTCATATACACGTTCTATGAGGTACAAAACAAGTGCTTACGACGTTTGTATTTTTCAGGAACCGTTCTCTTCGTTCTTCCCACCGTTGAAAACTCCGAAGAAGTTGAAGTACGCTAATTATATAAGAGAGGCTGATGTCAAAACTGACCAGTTATACCTTTTGGATATGAAGGTGAAAGAAAAGCTTCCGTTCGAGAAGCCAGACGCGATTAGCGTCGAACACTTGATTGGCGGCTTTACTTTCCTGCATCGGCAACTGACCATTGCACCGATGGGTACTCCTCTGAAATTAATAGTTAGGTAAGTCGAAATCCTCAGCGTTGTGTTTGGGTAATCTACGATATGCCTTTTAGCAGCACTCTCTCAGGCATTGAACCGTACTTGGAACAGAATGGCATCGAGCTCGAAGTAGCCATTGGATCTCTTGACTTACAACAAATTCTCAAACTGTACTCTTTGGTACTTAAATGGACAGGATTTCCAACTAGCGCTTTCTTTTACGAATTAGATTCATGGGTTGAAAATGCTTTGGTGATGCCAGATAAATGTGTATCGGTTTAAAAGTTTGCTTGTGTTTGACAAAGTAAACTTAGACTGCGAAGTACGAGTGCATCATTTGCTATTGATCTGCTTTAATTTACTTCATAAAACCCTAGTTAATTCGAAATTTACGAAAGAAATCTGTCTCTTAGATATACTCTCTATCAAATAAAACCTCAAATATGATGTGTATAAAATTAATCATGTATTGTCCTAAAATGTTATATAGATATTATATAATGATTCCCTGCTGAGGTTGTAGCTCACGTAGCGG